TGGCACTGTGTGGTATGTCTTGGGCTGTTAACGGCAAGGTTGGTCATTCAAAACCACTCGCTACTCCAAGAGAAGACTGGTTGCTTCCCTAAATATGTACAGTTTGGCACACACACACCCCGCCCCCCGGTATAGGGTTACTTTGCACCAGAACTGTCTCAATGGCATTGGGTAAACATAGTCTCTCATTTATTTTCTCAGTAATGCTTGCAGTTTGTTATAGTAGAGAGTGGAAAGGAACAAATCCACTCACTTGGGTTGAAGATTTTGGAAAATAGTGATTCGATTGCTGGGGTCTAGCACAAAGTTAAGTGACTGGGTAATGCAGTGGCTACCCTCTTGGTCATTAACAGAAAGTATAGTGATTTGGACCCACCAATCACTCTGTGGGAGCAAACTGTAACAGTCTGCTTCCATAGGACGTCCAACTTTGGAAACTCTATGGGGCAGTTCTTCTCTGTTTATGATATCACTGTGAATAGGAATCGACATCACAGCCAGGGGTTTGGTTTTTGTTTTTATGTTTGTGTGTGTGTGTGTGTGTGTGTGTGTGTGTATGTATATATATATATATAATCTTTCTTATGGATGGGAAGACAACTAATGAATTAAATAAAAATGTAATAAAATGGAAAGTTATTTGTCTATATGACAGTCTATATGGCTAATGAGTAGTTTTACTTAATAATAAAACTGGTTTCAACTAATTAAGATGCAAAAACATGGACAATCAATAGTAGTAATCAGGAGGAAGTTACCCAATAAGCAAGGTAAGCACGGTCTCATTTATTCTTACATCCAAATCAATAGCAAACAAATATATGGTGAAAAGCATGTTAAATTGTTCACTACAGATGATTAAGTTAGCACAAGTAAGCCCATACTTAAAATGCTTATTGTGTAGTCTTACAGTATTGATCGATGTAGGTCAGAAATATAGGGCAATGGTTAAAGGTTAGTGTTGCTCCATTGCATAGGTAAAATCAAATGAAGGCCATATAGGTTGACTAAAAATTTGATAAGCATGGTCAGAGTGTGATTAGAATGATTTGTGCAGAAGAAATTGGTAAATCAAACACCAAGCCTTTTGAGATATATGTAGGGATTATTTAACAGGATTGTGTAAGTTTAAGAAAGAAAGGTAAAGGTTGTGTAATGAAATGACCACAGGTTAGGGATTTGCAGTTTAGTAATCAAAGCAAATGAGTACTTACTATCTGTGCCACATAGGATAAGTGATTCCTGACAATGGGGAGTTTCCACTCTCTAGGGTTTCATATTGCTGAGAGCAAAGTTTTAATATAACTAATCAGAAATAATTATTTATAAATGAAGGTGTGAAATAGATGTCAGAAGAGATTTACTTACTTGTTCTTGAACATAGAGTAGCTTATGGGAATTGAAAAATAAGAAAGTAAATGAGATGAGCAGAAGATTTCAGAGTGACTTGAGAACAAAATTATTATAATGAGATATTTAATGATTTGGAGTTAGAAAAATTAAAGGGAAGAACATATATGGAATTTCTGAATCTGAATGAACTGCAGAAATAATATGCAAGACCAAATAGAAATGGAGAATTCTGTGAGAAAAATATTGAACAATTCATGGAATATGGGCAAAATACGCAGAGCCATTATAAAACACACACACCAAAAAACTGGTTATGACTAGCTGGTATAGAATAAAGTTCAAAGTGCACTGAAGGCATTGGCCAAAGACAAACCCCCAGAATTAAAAGAATTCTAATTGAGGTGTTTCAACAAATTGATGCAATGCTGTATACCTTCATCTATGCCAAGAAATTTGGAAAGTACCTACCTGTTCAATAAATTGGAATAAAGTATATTTTAACCATATCAAATAGAAATAATCCAACATAATTCAGAAATTACTGAACAATTTTATTAATAAAACATGCAAGTAAAATTTTACTTGTGACGATTCAAACCCCGTTACAATAGTGCATCAACAGGGAACTGCCCAAATGTCAAGCTGCATTTAGGAGAAGAGGTGAAATGACATTGTTTCTCTCAGAGAGATCTTGCCCAAATGTAGATAATACTAGAAATATATATTTCATTTATTTTTCAAAGACATTTATTTGATGGGATAGATCATACAAATGAAATGAATAGCAATGTGAAGAATAGGAATTCCAGAGCACTGAATCCCCTGTCCATAGAACAAGAGGTGATTTGAACAGAACAAAAGGGTATTGTGAGGTTTAAAATTTTTAAAGTTTTGCATTAGAGTTGTATCTTTTCACTATTCTATCTGTTTGGTGAAAAAATAAAAGACTGAGAAGGTGAATGACATACAGAGAAATACACTAACAATCTCTGATAGGCAGATGACACAACTTTGCTTGCTGAAAGTTAAAAGGACTTGAAGAACTGACTCAACACCTTGAAGATGAAAATTGCCCGTCTTAAATTTGGATACACCTCAACATAAGGAAAGAAAAGTCTTCATAACTGGACTAATAAGAAACATCATAATAAATGAACAAAAGATAGAAATTGTCAAAGATGTATTTTACTTGGATCCTCACTCACTGCCCATGGAAGTAGTAATCAAGAATCTAACAACATACTGCATTAGACAAATCTGCTGGAAGTGCTATAATTGGTTGTCATGGAGTCCATTCTGACTCTTAGTGACCCTATAGGGAAAGGAGAACTTCCCCTGTGGGTCTCCAAGATTGTAACACGGCTGGTACCTTTCACCAGGGCTCCCTAAACTGCGGCAAAGACCTCTTTAAAGTGTTAAAGAAAGCAAAGACATTACTCTGAGGGCTTCCAGCCTGACCCAACTCATGGTATTTGAACAAGGAATAAGGAAAACTGGAGACGAATTGACGCATTTCACTTCTGTTGTTTGTGAAGAATATTGAAGATAATATAAACTATCAGAAGAATAACATTGTCGCGGGTGAGCTATAGCTGGAGGGCTCTTTGGAAGCAAGGGTGGTGAGATGCCCTCTCACGTATTTTGAAGATGTTTTCAGGAGGGAACCGTCCCTGGAGGAAGACATCACATTTGGAAAGTAGAAGATCAGTATATGAGGAAGATTCTTAATGAGATAGATTGAGTCAATGAGGTAGATTGACTAAAGATTGCAATAATGGGTTAAAACAATAGCAGTGATTGTGTGGATAGCACAGAACTAACTGGGTAATCTTTCTGCTATACACAGGGTTGCTATGGGGTACAGCAGATGTGATGACAACTTAAAATCAATTTATGTAAACGATGTTTCATGAGACATTGCAAAGAAGAAGGTGACTGTTGTTCCTTTTTGACTGAAAGGAAGATTACAGAACCAAAAGGAAAAGGATTCCAAAGTGAAAATATCGAGGCACTCAAGATCGCCATAGAAGAATGAAGCAAAAATGGGTAAAGGTCAAGAGATAGCGCATGCTCACTCAGTCATCTTTATCTTATATAGTACCTCCTGCGGGAAGTGTTTGATCCATGAGTTTTAGTTATCCTCAGTTGAATTCACTTTTCTCTGTGGTTTCAATTGGGCCTGTTGCATTTAAGCAGTATTTTAATAATTTCATTGCTTAGTGATCTGATGGAGACATTGAATTCTCTCTGTTTACAAATAAGAATAATTGGAATATTCTATATACCACACTGCATTCAATTATAAAAGACTATTATTTTATTTACACCGGTATCTATCATTGGTTTCCCAATGTCCACCACACCGTCTTGTCCATTACAATTCTGTTAATTCTGTATTGAAAGAATAAAGAAAATATCAGGATTAACTGCTATCAGGTACTGAGCTAGTAGCACATATCTCATTTTCCCAAATGGAAAGATATCTGAAGGTTGATCTTGATACCATGCTACACTACATCCTTTAAAATTGTTGGGGACTTTGATGCTTTTTTCTCTGTAAGACAGCTTTGCCTTCTCTACGGAGTCTTAGTGGCTCAAACTATTCTTGTTTGGCTACCAAACTAAAGTTTAGTGGTTCACACACACCCAAGGGTTCTACAGAAGAAATTCCTAGGCATTTGCTTCTATAAATATTAAAGCCAAGCTTATCCTGTGAGTGAGTTCTACTCAATAACACATAGTGGCCCCCTGAGTCTTAGAGCTATTCTGAAGTCAGATATAACAACAACAATAACATTTCTTGAATGCTCACAAATATTTATAATTTAGAGAAAGGAAATGTTTTTCAAAGACCAAAAAAATCTCTTGCCACGGAATCAATTCAAACTCATAATGATAGAATATAGCGTTCCTGAGACTTCAAATCTTTTCAGGGAGAAATGCCCTCATCTTTCTTTAATGGAGGGAGCTCTGCTAGCCGAGCGGGTTACACTTTGGGAAAGCTAACTGCAAGGTTAGCGATTTCCATTCACCAGGACTCTGGAGGAGAAAGGCGAGGCTTTCTACTCCTATAAAAACAAAACAAAACAAAAACCTTACATACTCCGAAGCCATCAGGGGCAGCTCTCTCCTGTCATCAAGGACCAGATGTTGATTTGATGATGTTGAGATAGAATTTGAGTCAGAATTGATTAGATAGTGCTAATTAGACGGTGTTGAGATAGAAAATTCTATGGCAGAATGGCTGGTGGGTTTGACCCTTGTTATCAGTCCAGTGATTGCACAATGCTGCCACTAGGTCTCCTTATTAGAGAACAATATGCCAGTAGCCTTTGTTGTCATTGTTGTTCACCCCGCACTTTGCTATTCACTAATATCAATATTAAAATATAGGGTTCATATCTACAACCAAACACATCCCTTTTTATGTCATATCCTCTTCTTTTACCCTCATTTTCCCCTTTTCATACAGAACCCTTTTATTAATGACCCTTCTCTTTTCACTTTTAGTGTTAATGCTGTGATTTTCACCTCTGTCAAGAGAAAGATCTTTAAAGGTCTGCCCTGCTACCCAAAGCTCAGATGGAGAAGGCCAACCAGCAGAGCCTCCTGCCCTACCTTCCTCTGCTCTCGCCAATGGCCCCATAATGGCTGGGAGAAAAGGCCCAGTGAATGTGATGGTCACTCTCTGGTTGTTCAGGCTTGGGGTACTTCTAGTCCTTTCTCAATTATCCCAGGTGGGGTACCCTCAATACCAAACCTCCCCAGAAGTGGCGATTCCCTTGAAGGTAGCTGTTTCAGGGTCAAGCATGAACGCTTCTGACTGGTTTTCCTACCATCTGAATTTTGGAGGTCAGAGATACATCATGCACATCAAGATTAAGAAGCTTTTGGTATCCAGACACCTGCCTGTGTTCTCCTACACAGACCAGGGTGCTCTCCTGGAAGATCATCCTTTTGTCCAGAAAGACTGCTACTTTCATGGCTATGTAGAAGGGAAATCAGAATCTCTGGTTGTTCTTAATAACTGTTTGGGGGGCTTCCATGGAATGATACAGATCGATAACTTTACATATGAAATCATGCCCAAAAGGCTTTCTTCCACATTTGAACACCTGATATATAAAGTGGACTTTGAGGAAACACAATTTCCTTTCATCAGCTCTGGTTTAACAGAAGAAGAGGATTCGAGACAATTGATGTTTCAAGAGAGTAATAATTATGCTCTGATGCGACATGCTTATGAAGGTGGGCGGACCCACAATTGGTTTGTAGAATTAGCTGTGGTGGTAGACCATGGTCTATTCCTTCATTTCGAAAGCAATAGCTCATTAGTGCAGGAGTTTGTTTTCAATACTATCCATACAGTAGATTCAATTTATGGTGCCATGGATATTCGCATCACTTTATTAACAATTGAAATCTGGAATGAAGGAAATCCATTTGTAATAAATGACAAAAAGTCAGTTTTGAAGGATTTTTGTGTTTGGAAAAAAAGTAACTTTAATTTCCGTGTTCACCATGACATCGCATTTCTATTTACAAACGATTCCTTGGGTAATTTCACTGGCTTTGTTTATTTGGCCATGGTGTGTAAGGATTCACTCAACTGTGGAATTTTAAGTTACAAACATTCTAAGGTAGGACATTTTGCAGCCAGCGTGGTTCGTGCTATCGGTCACATTTTGGGGTTAGGGCAAGATAAAGAATGGTGTGCATGTGGACAAACGAACTGTGTCATGAGTGAGTTCATATCATTTAGTACTAAATTCAGCAATTGTAGCTATGCTAATTGGTGGAAAGTGGTTGCCAAAAAGCCATGTGTGTACAACACACCGGACCCGCGGGCCATCTTTATCCTGAAGTCCTGTGGTAATGGCGTGGTTGAAGAAGGAGAAGAGTGTGACTGTGGATCCATGCGTCGTTGTGTAAACGATCCCTGTTGTCTGTCCAACTGCACTCTGGATCCTCGAGCTGAATGTGCTTTTGGACTTTGCTGCAAATACTGCAAGATCATGCCAACTGGAGAACTATGTAGACAAGAAGCCAATGCCTGTGATCTTCCGGAGTGGTGCAACGGAATATCCCATCAGTGTCCAGAAGATGTATATGTGCAGAACGGGGTGCCATGTGAAGGAGGAGGCTATTGCTACGAAAAAACGTGTAGTACCCATAACTTACAGTGCAGGGAGATTTTTGGGGAACCTGCAAAGAGTGCCAAGGAGGAGTGCTACAAAGAAGTAAACACTCGAGGCGATCGATTTGGTAACTGTGGCATGAAAAACTCTAAATATGTAAAATGCAATATCTCTGATATCCTGTGTGGAAGGGTTCAGTGTGAGAACGTGAGAGACATCCCCCCTCTGAGAGAACACTTTACGGTACAAGCGAATTCTCTCAACAGTACCATCTGCTGGGGAACAGACTACCATTTGGGGATAACCATACCAGATATTGGTGATGTGAAAAATGGCACAGTGTGTGGCCCAAATCATATGTGCATCAACAAGAAGTGTGTTGATAGGACTACCCTGAAAAGTTACTGTTCAACTAGCACTTGTAGAAACAGGGGAGTCTGCAACAACAAAGGTCATTGCCATTGCAATCAGGACTGGGCCCCACCATACTGCCTAATACCAGGCAATGGAGGTAGTCTTGACAGTGGTCCACCGATTGGAAAACAAAAAAAAGAAAAATTCAGAAAACATAAGAATACAACAATATACCTGCTAATCCCATTTTTGCTTTTTGTTTTATTTTACTTATGTTGCTATTGTTTTTCTGCTTATTTGCTTCGGAAAAAGCACAAAAGAAGAAGGCGATTCAAAGCCTACAAACAGAAAGAAAGAAAAACAAACGAAGAACCTTTAAACCCTTCAGACAGAATCCAAGAAAAAGAAGAGAAACCTTCCCTTTCTTCAGAAGGAATCAGTGAACAACAGACAGAAAAACAAGAGCCACCAACCGTATTTCCTGAAAATTGACGAAGTCCTTATTAAACTTGTTATATCTTCAGCTTAGTCTTCTGTCAGTTGAAATGTGTCAGAGACCCTAGACAGAAAATCTCATACGAATATTCTATTTCACGACCATAAAAAATCATTAGGCAAAAGTAATTGCTAGCCATTCCTAAACATTCTTAATTATTTTAATCAACTTTAAGTGAATTTTTATGAAGTTAGACATTTTTTTGTTTCATGAATAAAACATAACACATGACAGGTATGAAGGGTTGAAGATGTTTTTTTCTCAGCTGCAAACTCTCTTCTTCTATTGATTTCACTATCACACCGAGAATGGAAAGTCATAAATCAAATGTCTCCTTTGCCAGTACTACTAATAGTTTCGGCAAGATAGGATGCTATGTGGAGATTGGAAAGGTGAAGGTACTGGTTGATTCATGGTTATTCCATGCTGCCTCAGTACCAGTGTTGAAAACAGCAGACTGAAAACCAAGACTATTCCTATGTTTTCAACTCTCAGAAACAGAACACTGTAAACCTCAGATACACAAGCAAAGTTGGCCAGTGACTATATCTTAGGAGTCTGATGTAGGCACTTTGAACCACCTACAAAGACCATGAGATTGCAGTATGAGATTTTGCATTTGTTTCATTTTATTTTCCACCACAGGGAAGTGTTTAACCTTAGAAATTCTTCAAGGTCAAAATCAGAAAAGAAAGGATAATAACACTTGTCATAAAAATCATAATTTTTACCATTTGAGACCAGCACAAGTAGAGATAACTCTACGAGGACAGAGGTGAGAGAGGTCCCCTTGGAATGAGAATTCAGAGACCCGCCCAGAGTCAGGCTATCTCCGTCACCAAAGTCCTTAAGGTATTTTATATTGATATTGCCTCAGCGCCTGGGTACCGGTGCCATTTGTAGACCCTCAGGACCACATTCTCCAGAATCCACCTCATGTCATCTGGTGAGAATAGAAGCATGTTGGACAGAAGTTTCACGAATCGTATGTGCCCAGTGAGACTCTCTCGATCCCCTCACACATATGTGGGCCGGGAAGCCAATACGTTGACTGTAATGGTTATATGGCTACCTTCCTCCTCAAACCAAACCCAACCCACTGCCTTTGAACCAATTCTGATTCATGGTGACCCTATAGGACAGGCTAGGACTTCGGTCAGTCTTAAAGACTGTAACTCTTTACAGGAGTAGAAAGTTAATCTTTCTCGTCCCTTCCTCCAAACAGCTGCTAATAAAGATCTCAAGCATTGCCTCTGTATCTAACCAGAGAATATTGCCCTCTTGGTAAAAGACAAAAAAAATTCCAGTAACACTTAGTGCATTATATATAGTATTTAAGTTACATTTTTAAATGTTCTTATATAAAAATAAGTCTTGGTAGACCAAATTTTCTGACTACTAGTTACATCTTAAAGTAGTGATGTGGTTAGATGGCCTCCAGTCAGTTCTGACCCATCGCAACACTATGCACAACAGAACTGCAACTGCCCCAGCCTGCACTTTGGGTGGGTGGGTGGGAGTTGTTTGTTCCTTAGGCAAACAAATAGGGCCACTACCTTTCATGGCCCAAGTCATGAAAGGATGCTGACAGCTCATTCTGGGGAGCTGTTTGATCAGCTGTTGGTCTGTCTCTCTGCCTGAGATAAAACAGACCTTTGCCTCCTGTTCCCTGGCAAAGGCTGAAGAAAGCAGCCACCGACAGGCTTACCAGTTACTTCATGTTCTCAGCCTCATCCTTCCCTGCCATCTGTGTATAACAACACTGAAGTGTTAATGCTTCCTTATATGCCTCAAGAATTATTCATTGCCCTTTGTGTAATCCGATCATGAGCATGCTGGCTATGTGACCTAAAGACTATATAAGCTCGCCCCTAATAAAGTTCTGGGACCTGGAGCATCTATGCTGTCCTAACTTTTGTTTGTCTCTTTTGTGTGTAAGTTTTCTCTTTAGAGCGTACCTTCTTGAACCCACTTGATTTGAAAGATAAGAGACAGTCACTACATGATCTTACACTGCACCATCCTTACAACGATGCCTGAGCTCATTGCAGCAGCAACTGTGTCAATCCATCTCATTGAGGGCCTGCCCCTTTTAAGCTGCCTTTCCTTTTTACCAAGTGATGTCCTTCTCTCGGGACTGGTCTTTCCTAACAATATGTCCAAAATATGAAAGTTGAAATCTTACCATATTTACCAGTAAGAAGGAGGACCCTGGTTTTGCTTCTTCCAAGACAGATTTGTTTGTCCTTTAAGCAGCCCATAGTACTTTGGGACTAGTCTTTCCTAATAATATGTCCAAAATATGAAAGACGAAGTCTTACCATATTTGCCATTAAGAAGGAGGACTCTGGTCTTGCTTCTTCCAAGACAGATTTGTTTGTCCTTTAAGAAGCCCATAGTACTTCCAATACTATTCACCAGCACCACCATTAAAATACATCAATTCTTCTTCAAACTTCTGTTTGGTGTCCAACTTTCACATGCATATGAGGCAGTTGAAAACACCATGGCTTGGGTCAGGCACACCTTAGTCCTCAAAGTAACATCCTTGCTTTTCAATACTTTAAAGAGGTCTTAAACAGCAGATTTGCCTCATGCAACTCATCTTTTGATCTCTTCACTGCTGCTTCCCTGAGCATTGATTGTGGACACAGACAAGACAAAATCTTTGATAACTTCAGCATTTCTCCATTTATCATGATGTTACCTATTGGTCAACTTGTTGGTATGTGGTCGTGTTTACATTAAGTGGTAATCCATATCGAAGGTTTCAATCTTTGGTTTTCAATCAGCAAGTGCTTCAAGTCACACTCACTTTCAATTAGCAAGGTGTGCACATGATCTTCACATCTCTGGAGGTTAATAAGCCTTCCTCCAATTCTTCTTCATGGAATACAGCTTCTTTGATTATTTCCTTAGCATAAAAACTGAATAGATGTGGTGAGATGATACAATTCTGACACACACCTTTCTTGATTTTAAAGCATGAAACATTGCTTTGTTCTGTTCACACAACTGCCTCTTGATCCATGTTTAGATTATGAATGAGCACAATGAAGTGTTCTGGAATTCTCATTCTTCTCAAGGTTATCCATATTCATTGTGGTCAACATAGTCGAATGTCTCAGCATCATCAATTAAATACAAATAAGCATCCTACTTGTGAATGTCAAAGTCCATTCACATCAGCAGTGAAATCCCTTGTTCCATGTCCTCTGCTGAATTTGGCCTAAAACTCTGGCTGCTCTCTGTCATTGTACTGCTGCAACTCTTGTTGGATGATCTTCAGCAACATTTTACTTGCATGTGATATCAATTTTTCTGTACTACAGTTTGAGCATTCTGTTGGGTCACCTTTCATTAGAATGGGCACAACTATGGATCTCTTCCAATCAGTTGACCAAGGTGCTATCTCCCAAATTTCCCAAGCGTGAGTGCTCCCTGTGCCTCAACAGCTTGGTGAAACATTTCAGTTGGCATTCCACCAATTCCTGGAGCCTGGTTTTTTGCTTATGCATTCTGTGAGTTTGAATGTCTTCAGCATGGTTTGTGCTCATATGCTACCTCTTGACACGGTGAAATGTTGAGTAGGTTTTCCTGGTTTTGTTTTCTGGTATGGTGGCTCTGTGTATTCTTTCTATCTTCTCCTGATGCTTCCTGCATCATTCAATATTTTGTCCATAGACTCTTTCAAGATTGCAACCCCAGGCTTGAATTTTTTTTGGAAATCTTTCAATTTAAGATATTCTGGGTGAGTTCTTCCCTTTTTGTTTTTCTAATTCTAGGCCTTTTCACATTTCATTATAATATTTTGTCTTCTCAGGCTGCCCTTTGAAATTTCTATTCTGCTCTTTGACTTCATCATTTCATCCATTTGCCTATGATTAAAAGCAAGTTTCAGAGTCTCTTCTGAAATCCAAATTAATATTTTCTTTTGTTCCTGTCTTTTATTGGCCTCTTGCTTTCATGAATGATGGTCTTTATGTACTTTCACAGCTCATCTGATCTTCTATCATTAATGTTCAATTTGGCAAACATGTTCTTGAGATATCTCAAAATTCAGGTGACATAGACTCAAGGTCGTATTTTGGCTCTTGAGGACTCATTTCATTTTCTTCAGTCTTATCCTGAAATTACATATCAGCAACTGATGGTTTTTTCCATAGTCAGGCCCTCCCTGACCTGCTGTCAGCTGCTGAACATCAGTTTCTCCAATGTCTCCTTCCACAGATACAATTGAGTTGATTTCTGTGTTTTCCATCCGGAGAAGTACATATGTACTGTCACCTTTTGTGTTGTCACAAAAAGGTATTTTCTATGAACAAGTAGTTGATTTTTCAAAACTCCATTATGCAATCTCAGTTTCCATCACCAAGTTCATATTTTCCAATCACTGTTCTGTCCTCTTTGTTTCCAAAATTTGCATTCTAATCACCAAAATGTATCATGCATCTTGATTGCATGGTGATCAATTTCCAATTGAAGTCCTTGGTAGAATTCTTTAATTTTTTCATTACTAGCTTTTGTGGTTGGTGCATACATTTGAAAAATAGTTGTATTGATTGGATTTCCTTGGAGGTAGATAGATATAATTGTATCATAGACAACATTGTACTTCCTGATTGAAATTGCAATGTCCTTTTTGACAATGTATGCCATGCCATTCCTCTTGATTATGTTATTCTCGGTATAGTAACATAAGATTTTCTGATTCATAATGTCCAATCCCAGTCCATTTCAGCTCACTAATGCCTAGCATATTGATTTTTATGCTTTCCATTTCATTTTGGATGACTTCCAATATTCCTAAATTCATACTTTGCACATTCCAAGGCCCAATCAGCAGTTTCATGTAGCTGTTCACCTTACTTTTGGGGAACAGATGCCCCATCAGCAAATGATGATCCTGAAGGTTCCACTGCCACAGGTTTTACTCCATTCATGTCACCATGGCTGACACTGTGAGAACTCTGCCTCACAGTCATTTCTAGTGTGG